GCCATGGAGGGGGGTGACAGGGAGGCTGTGGTGCCATCGAGGGGGTCACAAGGCACCATGGGGGGGTGGCAATGCGGGGGGGAGGGGAGGAGATAACAGTACCAGCAGCTGTGCCCCCCCCACACTCAGTGCCCTGTCCCCACAGTCTGGAGGGCTGCACAGTGCCGCTGGACGGCTGCAGGCAGCTCCAGCCCCCCAGGGACGGCGACAGTGACAAGCGGCTCTACAGGCTGCGGGGGGTCCTGGGGGGGGCCAGCAGCACCCTCCTCCTGGCCCCCGACTCCCCCACTGGCCCCCTAACCTGTGCCCCCCCGCTCCGCGGCTGCCTCACCATCACTGAGAGCTTCAGGCCCCCTCCCAGCGTGCCAGTGACCGTCCCGGTGCCCAACCCGCCGCCGGCCAAGAGGAAGAAAAAGAAAAAGAACAAGATGATGAAGGAGATGCCAGAGGCACCCGAGGTGTCCACCCCGGAGAGGGTGGCACCTAGTGAGGGGAGGGATTGCAGGCCAGGAACCCCCCCAGACATCAGGGTGGCCCCCGAAGAGCCAGAGGTGCCCAAAAAGAAGAAAAAGAAGCACAAGCGGGAGCGGCCGGAGTGAACCCCGTGTCGTCCCCCCCCCGCCCCATCGCTGTCCTCATCATCATCCCCCCTCAGGCCCTGTCACCAATAAATGCCATTTATTATAAAACCAAAGATTTTGGGGGTGGTGGCTCATTTGGGGACCTTGAGGAAGGGCTCGTGCAGGACGTCGAAGAGCCGCTTGGCCTGGAGACGGAGGGGGGGAACACACATGGAGACAGGGAGAGTTGTGAGGCAGGCTGGGGGGTGAGGGACCAATGTCCCCCATGTCGCCTCGTCGCTCACCTTCTGGGGTCCAACACCGGGGCAGAGGGACAGATCTTCCCTGGGGGCATCCACCACGGCTGCCAGCGACTGCGGGATGGGGAGGAGGGTGAGGGGCTTGGGGGGCAGGTGAGGGTCTTGGGGGGTGGGCGAGGGTCTCAGGGATGCGTCCCCTGTCCCCAGTGTGCCCCAGGGAGGGTGACATCCCCAGGGGTGACTTACCCCAAAGGTGGTGAGGAGACTCAGCGCATCCGTCTTGTTCACTGACTTGATGCTGGTCAGGCAGTCGGTCATCTGGAGGTGACCAGGGTGGGGGTCAGGGGACCCTCGGAGTCCCCAAGGTCCCCAAATTGTGGTGGGGGGGAGGGAGGGTGCGTAGCTCACCCGGGAGAGGAAATCCTGCTCCACACGCTCCTTCAGCAAGTCGGGCGGCTTCTGCTCATAGGCCTTGTAGGTCTCCAGGTACCTCCCGGCCTCCTCGGGGCTGGGGAGGGCACGGGGAGTGGGTGAGGGGGCCACCCATGGGTGGTAGTGGGGACCCCCAAGGGTGGCACAGGGACAGTCCCTACCTCCAGGCTACCAGGAGGGTGCAGTCGGCCAGGATGCAGATCTTCGCCAGATCCTTCAGCGCCTGGTGTGGGTCCTTCTGCGGGGACAGACGGGATGGGGGAGGGAGAGGATGGGGACAGAGGAGCCCAAAGAGTGAGGGGACAGGGACCTGAGGGGATGGAGGTGACCAGGAGAGTGAGGGGACAGGGACAGAGGGGACTGAGGAACAAGGACAGCAAGGGGATGGGGACAGAGGGATGAAGAGAGTGAGGCGACGGGGATGGAGGGGACAGGAATGGAGGGGACAGAGGGATGGGGAGAGCAAGGGGACAGGGACGGGGGGAACAGAGCGATGGAGAGAGTGAGGGGATGGGGATGGAGGGGACAGAGGGATGGGGAGAGTGAGAGGACAGGGATGGAGGGGACAGAGGGACGAGGACAGCAAGAGGACGGGGACAAGGAGCCTCTCACCACGTCGACTTGGAGCAGCAGCAGCTGCAGCCCATAGCTCCTGCCCAGGTGCCGCAAGCGGTCATGGATGTAGCCGGGGTTGAGGTGGTGGTACCGCAGGCTGGGGGGGACACACAAAAGGGACAAGGTAACACTGAGGGGACCCCTGGGGACCCCCAGGAGCCCCCGCTCACCTCAGGAAGAGGGCGCAGGTGCTCTGGCCCAGCACATAGTCAGGGACGACGTCGCCGAACTCCCAAGGGACGTTGCGGATGAACTTCAGGACCGGGTTGCCCCGCTGTGGGGAGAGGGCAGTGGGTCAGGGGACCCCAATGGCCAGGGGGGCGGACGGACAGGGCCCTGGTCCCCCTCTGTGTCGTGGGACACCAGGGGACAGGGCCTTTCCGTGTCCTGGGATGCCAGGACAGTCCCCTCCCGTGTCCCAAGGCACATGCTGGTGTGCTGCAGGGGACAGTCCCCCCAGCCCCAAAATATCAGGGGACAGTCCCCCCTGGGCCCCAAGATTCCAGGGGACAGTCCCCATGAGCCCGAAAATATCAAGGGACAGTCCTCTCAGCCCCAAAATATTGGGGGACGGTGCCCCTCAGCCCCAAGATAACAGGGGATGATCCCGCCCAGAGCCCCAAAATATTGTGGGATGGTCCCCCCTGAGCCCAAAAATTCCAGGGAACAGTCCCCATGAGCCCTAAAATATCGGGGAACAGTGCCCCCCGAGCCCTGAAATGTTGGGGGGCAGTCCCCCCAAGCCCTGAAATATCAGGGAACAGTGCCCTCTGGGCCCCAAAACATCAGGGGACAGTCCCCCCTGATCCCCAAAACATCAGGGGACAGTCCCCCCTGATCCCCAAAATATTGGGGGACGACACCGGGGGACGGTCATCCCCTGTACCCCGGGATGGCCCCCAGCCCTCCCCCTCCGC